TTCGCTCTGTGTGTGTGTGTGTGTGTGTACATATTGTCCAGGTCGTTTGCCCTCCGGACAAACAGTAGATATTATGATGAAGAATACACAGAGAGAGTGATGGGGGGAGGCCGAAGACCTTAGAAATTATACCAAATTGAATTTGCGCGGTTCGGGGACGATAGGAAAGGTTAATTTGACCGATCCGTTTCCCCACACAATAAGTGCACCACCATCATCACCACCGTAAAACGATTTTGAAACTTTCGCGGGGGTGAAGGGGGGCATAAAAATCCAAACAAAAGACACGAGCCCCGGTTGAACTTTGCAAACGGCGGCGATAGTTGTATATATTTTTTTCTCTCTCTGCTATATTATAACACGTCGTCACTCAACTATACTCGCATGTATTTTTTTGTGTCCGTCTTTAAGCGGTCTATACGCAACTAACAACAACTACTGCACAGTACTTACACAACAACAACCACGGTTGTCGGAAACTATTTCCCCAAGTGCTGGAAACGCGTAATGACGTGCAAAACGTCATTTGGTTTAACGCGAGCGTTGTTTTTTTTTTTTTTTGTCGCCTTTCTTACAACTGATAATATATACACACGCTGCAAATCGAATTCACCGCAGATCTCTTTTTTCTTCCTCTGCGTATTCAAAACAAACAACGGCCGTTAACGAGCGCCGCCCGAACCACCGCTATTGTTATTATTAAAAAATATTCGATTATTATTTGTTCGTTTCTCCCCCTCTTTCTCGAGGTAGAGTCCTGGTGCCGTTCTAGCCGGCAAATCCTTAACGAGCAACCCTGCTGTCCCGCTTTGACATAAAGCCCTATCGAAAACGGACATTGTAAACGAAATTCTTTTCTCATTAAGCAACACTCTAGTATCGCTACTGTTATATGCATATATATTGGCTATTAAGAATGGACTGCCGCAGTGCAATTCGTTCTACTGAATCGATAGAGAGAAATCTTGATTGATACTTTGGATAAAACGAACGAATCGTCCCAGTCGAGTCGTGACACAACATTATATTTTAGTACAATGGAGTCGATATCGGCAATCGTTTTCGGCCATTGTGTCGAGGCGAATACTCAAAATTACAAAGATAAGACGGACGATTTTGTTGTCAATTCTTCTAGCGCAAAGTTTCAACAACAACAGTTAACACACGGTGGACTTCAAGACGATAAGTCCGGAGTGTTTTTGGAACTTTGTCGGAGAAACGATATTTGTCAACAAGTATTTCCGGCATTTCCGAACAAAAGGCAGCAAGTGGAACTTTTGATGAACCCGAGATGTTATCCGTTTTAACCGGTCGGTTAACCGGACAGAAAATGTCTGTTGCGCGTTTCGAACGCAGGCTACACATTTGGCTGCACCGACGACTGTATGATAATCATTTAGTGCCTAAGCTGTGGTCCGTGTCTTTTATGTTGATTGCTCGTTGTTTTGTGACATACCTATATTCGTAAATTAGCGTCTGGACGACAAACGATATACCACCATTGTTGTCGGAGGCCCCGGCGGCAGGCAGGCAGGCAGCCATACGTGTCGCGGTTTCCCATTGTGCTCAAAGCGGCCAAAACTTCTCAGAAGCATGAGGGTTGTCGTTTTACCGGCAACCGCCTCCTCCTATTCGGACGATTAATAATAGACACAAGCATTAGGTGTGTGTACACTTGATAATTAGTACTCGGCAGTCTTGTGCACGGAGGGAAAATGCGCGGGGCTTCTCTCAACGATCGTTGTCGCGTTCATTTTCTGGCTTGTAGCATAATACATATTATTACTATTATGATTATTGTTAAAAGTCTTCCCACGGGTCTCCCTTTTTCCTCTTCCCCTCTCTTAACTGTCGTTGGTTGTCATCTGGCGGTTACGCGACGTCATACGTCCGCCCGCCACCGTCTCCAGTCGTCTCGGGACTTTAAAATGCGCGCATTAAGCAAATTGAACTTTATATCCGTTCCCCGTTATCCTACTGCCTACTGCTACTCTCTCTCACGGGCGCTGCCGACTGTCGAACGCCGGCAAAATCTATATTAACATATATCGGAGAGAAACGCTTAAGAATATCACTCGGTCTTGGTAGAAATGCAATTCCATTAATGTGCCCGTGTTTTCGGTCTGTCATAACCGCGTTTCGCACGGTGACAAGCGCCGGAAACCCACCTGACACCACAGCCTGAGTGAAAGTCATCTTACCTAGGGCAAACCCACGCTTTACCGTCGGCCCCCGACACGATATGCTAATCAAGAGCCTAAATCAATCTCGGTATGTTACACACAGTTGTTGTTAAAAGTTTAAAAGCCAAATTGCCGTCGTCCCCTTCCCGTTGGTGCAACTCAGAATTACGGTTAAAATTGATAATTTCACTTGAAAATATACCCCCATTGATTGCGAGTATTTTTTAAGAACCTAAACGACTTTAGAAGGAATTGAACTACTCTACCACCTCCCTCTCTAGTTGCGCCAACGTCACTGCTTTAGTTTGATTCTGGATACTTAAATAAGTTGATTTGTCGTTTGCTGCACAAGAGTAAAAGTAAATTAGGATTTTTTTTTTAAAATGGGCTTAGTTATAACACTTCAGCTCTCTTAAATTGATCTAAGGGTACCAATGATGAATTTAATGACCGAATTTTTTTTGCATCTGGTCCAACTTACGCCAAGGCAGTAGTTAAAAGGGTAAGGCGCGGCAACGAAACAAGGGATAAGGGGGGGGGGTCAGGAGAAAAACAATTTAGACGGCTCGTTTGCCTCACCGCCTACAGACGGACCAGGTGTGTGGCATGCACTCAGTCACCGACTTAACCCGTGTAAATCCAACGACGTTAACACGCTTGCCAATTTCGCAATCAAAGGTGCCGTCAATACTATAGCTGTTGTCTTTGTAGACCTTGGGAAAAGCAGTTGCCGCCGCCGGCTAACTCGAGTCAAAAAGGGACACGGCAGGGTGGGGGGAAGGAGGAAAGATGGTAAGACGACGACGAAAAGAACAAGCTAAGAACCGTAATACGTGTATATATAAATAAATAAATGGAAAGAAAAAAGGGTAAATTATGTACGCTCCGCTAAACCGTATGATCGTCAAACAAGGGGCGATTGCGCCCCGGAAGGGGTGGAAAATCGTTTCGACGACGATTTTCAAACATAAGCGGCAAAGGCATTCATCCGAGGCGTGATAGTGTTATGTTACGATATTTCGCTATGTGCGTTTATTTTTGCATTATTATTATATTTTCTTTGGCCAACGTGCACTATTATTATTTTTATATACAGAAAAGAAAATCGCGCGTTTACCTACATCGATACGTCAAACGTCAAGAGCACGCCCAAAAGGATTTGCAGGTCTAGGAAAAGTTACATTATTCCGGTACGCTGACCCGGTAAAACGAAGACACGGCTTATTATTTGTTTGTTTTTTTTTTCAACGCTACTTGTGAGCCCGTCTGTTTTCCATACACATCCTAGTGTACGGGGCCGCCCCGACCTTTAGAAGAGAGCCGGGAGGGCGAAAATATAACAAGAGCAGCGTAGTATTCGCTTCAGCGTTTAACCGTCCTCCTTTGGCGCTCATTATTGTTGCATAATATTTGCTACTCGTTATCGTATACTTGTATAATATGTTGTTCGTTGTTCGAAAGCCCAATCAAAAACATATTATATAATTTCAGTATTAACAAAAATAATAGAAATTGTATAATTTTTGTTGTTCCATTTTCTCGAATCCGTTACCATTACGTAAATTAATAAGATGTTTGAGCTAAATATCAAAATGTTATTATTGACTTAACGAATTGGACACGATTGGTTCTTGAAATTAGTGTATTAAAGTTAGAATTTGATATTAATTAATGGCCGATAACACGGTGTAATTGTTTTGTCCACTTGAGAGAAATGTATTTGCAGAGTTCTGATAATATATACGGCAAGTGCCTACTCGTTTACAACTGCGCAGTAATGAGAGCAGATTGATTGTTGCTGGAAAATAGGTCTATAAAATCGATTTTATAGCAACATATATCGAAGATGAAGATTTATCTTTTTCGCATAACACAAACAGTGTATGAAATATCCGACGAAAAAGCATCTGAAGCATCACGTTACTACTAAAATGAGAAAACCCAGTGAACCTAAACGGCGGAGAGGGTTCAGGGGTGAGCATCACCACCACTGTTGATGTTACTTTTCCGGCCAAGGTGTGTTCAGAAGTGACCCCGATTACTGGGCGGCGGCGGCAAGAAATATCGTGATTTCCCGTACACGTCCTCGCATTTATCTTGTCGCCTTTTTATTAGGGAGGTGTTTTTGTTTTTTTTTTTTGGTTTTGTACAGTATAGGTACCAAGCCCAGTAAGTGATGTGCACACGCGAACACGCGCCTACGGAAAAATACAATAATCGATGTGGGCAAAAGGCGAAAGGGGCGATATGAGGGGAGGGGGCCATCATTACGTGTCACAAAACCTTATTCCGAAAACACATACGATGACAAATGCGAACATAGGCCATAACACAATGGAACCGCCGCTTTATCAATTTATTTAAAGGCCAACATCAATACCGTGAGAAGCGGCCGCGGCGGGATCGTTAATATTTCAGTAGAATTCTCTCTGTTACGCGTTGTAGTAAACATATTATGGTAATATATGCACAAACCGAATTCGGAACACCTCAGAAGAGCACGTAAGTAGGATATCCGAAAGACGAACACTGCCCGTCATTATTATTTGAAGCAAAAAAAAAACCGTCAAGGGTTTATGACTGCTGCTGCCGTTAAATGAATTAAAAATATTTAAGATTTTTGAAAACGTGCCCCTTTGGACGTTCTGTTAAGTGACGAACGGGGTTTGTTGGGAGAAGAGAAAATGTTTTTCTCCTCGAAGGAGCGCATAATTCGATCGGTTAGGGTGCTTTTCACTGGGGAAATGGGGGAGGGGGAATGAAATTTCTGATATCAAGACAAAAAAAAAAAGACTGTGCGAAATTGAACGTGCTTACCTGGTTCTTGCCTTTCAACACCAACACGTTGGTGACTTTGCCGAACGGTATGCCCAAATGTATGACCTCGGCTTCGGTGACGTCGTTGGGTATGTTGCGTATGTGTATCACACGTGACGGTTTGTTGTTGGCAGTTTTGTCTAGTTTGACCTGAAAAAAATCAAATATTATTATCATCAAACACAAGATGATGATTTCAAAGGGGGTGGCCGTACACACGACGACGCCAGCTGCACGCGGCGACCGCAGACGGTTGAAATTCAATTTGTGGCCGTCCGTGGATTTCCGTCATTTCATCCAGCTGGCGAAAAAATAAATATATATATTCCCTCGGTCACTTCTATCGCCCTCCCCTCCCCAATCAAAACGACCACAGCACAGGCAGTCGTCCCGGACGATCATTTGGATAACCGGACGCACAAAGGAAGCCTTTATATATATATATATATATATATATATATATATATATAGGTATACCGAGGTACGACCTCAAATCATCATCAGCGACACAGTCGGCCGATATTGTATATATTTTATACACAGCGCAGTATTGTCCCACTCTAGTCTGTCTCTATTCCACCACAAACACAATGTAATTAGGCGTCACATTTCAAAATTGTCAGCGCAATAGGCGCTCCGAAACGGACTACGAAATAATGAGAGATGAAAATCTATTCGGAAAAAAAACAAACAAAATCGAGACTTCTTGTTGGCGTAAGTATATATACATAATAAGTCAGAGTCTAGACTTTTTGTCGTGTAAAAATCTACTCATTAGACAATATTCATATTGTCAACACATTCATAGAGATTATCGAGACACAGGAAGAACGACGAATCTGATCTTATTTGAAGCTTCCTGGATAAATGGGTTTTCCGAGAAAAAATGTTCAGAGTCTCGACCCGTCGAGTACACATATTTCTGGCTTCTCCAAAAATGTCCAATAAGTTACCAACAAATTTGTTGAATAAGTTTAATTAATTGCTGCTAAGGTTGTGACGTCAACTTTATAAAGGTAAACACACGGTTATAAACGGTTTAATTTTTGTAAAAAAAAAAAAATATGGTGGAAAAATTATATCTTGTAATTCCCATAAAAGTCGACTGTTTTCAGAAATGTATTCTTATATTAGGAACAAAAAAATGTACTTCTAGAACAACACACATAAACAAAGTTCGCTATATATACAACATCAATATCTTCGGTGGTTACTTATATGTTAAAACCGACAATATTCTGTTGCCGATTCGCAAAAGTTCGCGACTGTAGAGAGTATAATAATAAAAGAGTAAATGAGAAAAACGTAAGCCCGTTTAATGTTGGCGCTTCTTTCCCCTCCTCTCCACCCCCGCGGTCTTGTTCCCCCTGCTTCAGACATTAATCCTATAGTGTGTGTGTGCCAACAAACTGTGTAATTGACGATAAAGACGTTATAAACACGGAGTGAGCCGCAAACGCTTAAGGCGCACACACACACAATGTACACCACTTCTTCCTCGCTGTCTAATTCACCGTAATTGGTTTACGTTTCTACAAGAAGGTTTTTGTCTTAGGTATAGTCTCGCTTTTGAGCCGTCGGCGGTGGGAAATTAATATTATTTAACAGACAAATACCGTACACATAATAATATACAACTTGCACGAGGCACGGGCAAAGTCCGCCGGGGATAACCGGACGTCTACGCTTTTGCCATGACCAATCCTCCATCCGGGACGTCATCGCCCATCACACACACACTCACCAGGATGTCCCCTGGAAAAACACAAACATCCGGGAAAGAGGGGGGGGAGGGCCACAGGGATTATAAAAGTTTTACGGACGTTTTGGTCGCGACGTCTCATCGGGGGACCGTTTCTGCAGGCGAGACGACGACGGCGCGCCAAGAAGAGGTTTAAAAAGTTTCTTTTGGGAAAAATTAATTTAACTTTCTTTCAAAGCCACTACTATTATGGTTCGTTAGCCGGCCAAAAAAAAAGAAAAAACGTTCCCCGACCTGAGTAACCGGTCTTTAGCCCACGTGGAGTAAAAAATGACAATTATATCATACAATGCAACAATACAATTAGATGACACCCGAATGAACACTGCCAAGTATTTTGGTGCGAGTACAACTTTAAAAGTTACCAAAAATATAGTATTTTTTGTGCCCTAGAGTTATCGAATAAAGTATGTATTAAGGTATAAAAAGTGTACTTTCTATTTTTCCAAAACTATTTTACTCTTGTTTAAGCCAAGTCCAATTTTTCCGTTTCAATCCGGTTTCAACTCAATGGGGTCTTTTATTTATCGAGTCTAGCCATCTTTGCCTCGGTCGTCCCCGAGCTCATTTCCAAACTATTCTGTTTACCAGTACCATCTAATTAATAAGATAACTATATGCTCTCCGGGTATGTCCAGCCCAAGCCAGTCTTGAATTCCTCATAAACTGTACTTAGTTTGCAAAATCATCACACACAGCGGCTGTGCTATAGTCTACGCTATGGAGTTTATTTTAAGTTGGAAAATTATTTTTGGTAGCCTAAAAAAACTGCGTTCAAGCCCGACGAGTCTGTCTCGGACCGCCTCTGCCGACATTCTATCATTATACCACTTGCCGCCCCTTCACCGCTACATTCGCCTCTGTTCGTCCGTCTGCTATGGTATTTTCTCCTGCTTTTAGCTCGTAATAAATAATTCAACTGTGCCTAGTCCTTTCAAATTATCTCACCGACCGTTTATAGCTGTCGCCACCGGAGAGGAACGGTTCTGCCTTTCTCATTCACCCCTTTCGCCTTTGTTGACCGAGCTCGGGGCAGGCACCGTATACATAATTACTGTCCACCTCTTGCGTGCGCCTTTTTTAATTGTCTCGGGTCGTTTGTTCTTAAAGCACCCCTCATCGTCCCCCCTCCCTGCCTGTATAAGGCCCGTTTACAAGATAGAATTAAGAAGAGGCCCGAACAGACAGAGGAGAAAAAATGTGTAGGTACATATAAATATATATACAATATACACGCACATACATAAATCCTTCAAGTCGTTCCTCGCGGTAGTAATAACAAGCGGCGCCCTCGGACGCGTTTAGGTGTGTACAGGAGGAGAAGAAGAAAAAGAAGCCTACACAACACAACATTGTATGTGTGTGTGTGCACATTATTTTAGGATTTCGCATACAATATTCGTTCACGCCAGTTAAAAATGAAAAATCGTGGCCGTTAACGAGCACTAGTGGCGGCGAACGAGACACAGGGTTTATAATAATGTATATATATATATATATATATATATATATAGTAATAATAATGTATGTGTATAAGCCCCTATACCCCGTCGGAAGCGTTCAACCATCAAATTTGGTTTGGACTCCCTCTTACACATTTCTTTTGCCTACACCCAGCACAGTCCGTTCAAAACGTTATATTATTATTAAGTGTGTCGTGTAGGAAAAATTTAATAAAGACGAGTAATAGATTATTTTTGAAAAGGGCGGTCGCCGGAAAAAATGAAATAAAATAATGTTATTAAATAAAAATAAAAATAAAACGGCTACGAGTGCTCTTTGTAGGAAAAAAATAAGATACGTATTATATGAAATGGGAACTTTTCGATTGAAACACGTTCACGACAATACTGAAATACAAACACACACAACATTGTTTCCACCCTAACCAACCCTAGTAGCGTTCTAGACACAGTGAGCTCTACAAGTGTATTTGCGTCGCTATTATTATATTAATAATATATATTTTTGTTGTTATCATCGGTTATTGTTACATTTACTTCTGGATATATTGTGTATTATTGCTGACAGTGTTTTCAATCGGGTTGTCATGACAATAGACAGCTAACGTCGTTCGTCTCCGTAAGGGTGCTTGATGTCAACAAGTCAATATAAAAATGCACGTGAACGTCCCCCGCCCCCTAACCATAATGTTATCAGACGAACTAAAGCCGATCTAAGTATACATATATAATAAATACATCTACTACATTAATGACTAATAACAAGTAAAGTATTGTAAAAAAATTACACATTATTGCCAAATAACATTGCATAATTTTGCTGGATTACTATTTTTGATAACGGACCTGGTCGGTAAAACTAAATTATCCTATGGCAACGACTTTCCACGCATAAACCGAAGGGCCGTCTTGTGGGCACTTGGGCGCGAACGATTTAAGTTTAATTTACAAGGTATGCACATTCTCCCACAGTGTCGCCGGAAGGTCTACTACTAATTAATTAACGGCTCTTACAAATTCAACCGGCAGATGCAACGGTCACACATTAATATTGTATTATTTGCCGTCAGCGCCGCAATAAGATCACGAGAGAGGCCGAACATTTCTAAGGGACCAAAGCCTACTCGAGTAACTCGGTTAACCGGAAAAAGACAAATTAAACTAGAAAAACCCCGTTTTAATTTTGTCCTAACCTCCCTAACCTGTTCGTCCAAAACATGCTTTCCAATCCAAAACTCTCAACTGGGTCCGACAACTTAAGCCCCAAAGCACGTTTCTCATTTAACATCACATCAAGACCCGAGAAAACAATTATGTAACAACAATGCAAACACTTACAACAGCAAACTTAGCGCTGCCACACACAAATCTAAATCTTGATGTTTAAACTTAACCAACACTAGTCAACAACCATGTTGTTGTAGTTAATTAAAGTCTTTTACTAATTGTGCTCAGAAAATTGTACAGATTTGTAAATGTTGTTTTTTTTTTTAATAAGACTTAAATACTCGTTTAAACGAAGAATAACCGTTTTTGTCTAAAACATGAATTTGACTGAGCATTTTCTACTAACCGTTATTTTCAAACAATTTGCCTAGAAACGATTTCTAAGTCCTATTGACATACAAGTATTTGCGGTACTTAGAAAAGTTACATGAGATGCGTTTGCACTTACTTAAGCACACAAGACATCTTTTTCTACTCGACAACTATGCCTACCCTTTGGTACTTTTACAATACAATTTACTGCTAAGGGACAATGAGATTGTATACAAAAGCCATTTGAGTAAGAACTCGTTGCTAGAAAAGTTCTTAAAAATATTCAGGCCTGAAGAGCTTCTTTTTTTTCATTAAAAATTGTAATTTAATTCTTTTCGGGAGACTTTTGTTGTTTGTACATTTTTTTCAAGTCTTTCCGAAAGGACTTTTATCAAAACAATTCAACTTAAACTTGTCGAGAGAAAATTTAATAACAGTTTCGAACTCCGCATAGAGACACGTTTTACTAAACTTGTTGTACAAGGAATTGGCTCAATTTAACTTTAGATACTCTGAAGATCACTAAACTAGATTGGAAAAAACTAATGTTTTAATCATTTCCGGCGGAAAGATCAACCAGACAGTTATTACTGAGACCCTAAGAACCACCTACCACCGTACCAACTTACATATGCATTAACCCCCTCCCCCTCCCCCACGCCGTTTTATTTGTACTTACTTTTTTCGCGTCGTTGTTGTTGTCCACGTGATTGGGTCCCATCGTGTCTCCGTTGCTGACGGGTCCTCCTTCGACCCCCGGCGATGTGACCATCTCGTCAGACCCACGCTGTGAACATAAAAGAAAATACAATTTATACATATTTTTACTTTTAAAAAAAACCTTTCGAATAGAGCTAGACTCGAGAAATAAAAAAATGGAAACAAAACGAAATGTTCATTAAAGGGACCCGGCAACAGTAACTGTATGTGTTTGCCAGCACACCCTATATTCTAATGAAGCACGATATCCGTCATTAAAAAAAAATACTTTAGACCAAACGAGTAGAAGAGGAATAGGTCACAATGCGCGCTCGTACAAAAGCGCATAGTTTGTTTACAAGGATATACAATTTTTTTTATTATTATTATTTTTTTTTTTATCACACTCTCCGACCACTCCCGCATCCGGAACAACCTTTGTGTGTGTACCCGTCGTCTTTTCTCTATTGAAGTGCGCTCTGTTGTGTGTATATATAATAATAATAATAATAATAATAATATACACCGTCGCAGGGTGAAAAAAAATGCATTTTCCGCATTCGAAGGGCGAATTTACCGGGTTTATACGGTCATTGTGTGCAAAGGGAAAATATTGTATTATACGCTAAAGAGATTCGTAGAATAAATGACATAATAAAATAAAATAAAAAATACTTAAAAACAATAGCAATAAAAATCCAAAGGCTATATCGACGCCGCTATCATATCGGTTCGCCCCCAGAAGTAATTGAACGCGTCCGCCGCCATTGTCGATGGAAAATTGCATTTCACAATTTTTTTTTTCCATCTTAATTCTGTAACTAAGTCAATGTGCGACCGCCGAGACAAACAAAAAAAACAGTATTTACAACGCGGCCACGATGATGATACGACGGTGAATTGAATTAATTCACACACATATCAGCTCAAGGCGGTGTGATTGCAGCAAGTTATAACTGTGTGTGTGTGTGGTTGTTTTTATATACTCTCGAGCAACGCTAATTGGGTTGGAAATCCCCTTTTTGCCAACCCTCTCCCGGCGGCACACGGCAGACTTTGACCGGAATACCGCGGACCGTCTCTTCTATAGAGAGCTTTTCGGCCATTATAAATTGTTATTTCGTTATTATTATTACTTTTGCTCCAGGCGGATAAATCAGCGACGGCAGTATAAAAAATAAATAAAAAAACGGTGTTGTAATCCATCACGCAAAAAATATGTATTTATATTAATAAAATAACAAAAAAAAGAAATAGAAAAAAAGGATTGTTATACTCGACGGGGATTTAGCCGAATTACAGACACACACACACACAATATATAATAACTGCCGCAATAAATAATAGTTTTTTAAACGTGGGCCCCGTTGCCGACAAGTCAATTAAAATCTCGTCGGCTACAAAAAAAATAAAATAATAACAAGCGGCCGCTGTCTGTAAGCTTTTTATACCTCACCACCAGGGCTCGTGGGGCTAGCCGGTTGTGCACCGGCTTAATAATAATAACACTAGAATATTAAACGGTAGTTACGAGCACCGGCGACGGATAAATATGTCCACAGCGAAGGAGATGTTTTTTCCTCTTTTTTTTTTTTTTTTTTAAATTATTATTATTACTACTATTATTAAAATTAACATCATTATGAAGAATTCCATTTGGCCGACTCGGTAGACGCAATTCTCGACCTAGTGTAATTAGTTTTTAATAGAATTTTGTCCAGGGAATTAAGAGTAAAAACACCGTTGGATGTGACTGCCCTGCCGTGTCGTTAAAAAAAAAAACAAAACAAAAAGGTTCGAGTTTATTATTATTAATTTTTTCTTTTTTCTTTTTACCCCTTCTCACAACGACTTCATTTATATTTAAAAAACGCGGGTTTAATTGAAAAAACAAATCTAGAACGACGCGGAAAACAACGTTTGTTCCGGTGCGTTAAGTAACAGTTGAACCTGCAAGTCAAACCCACTTAGCGCTTTATCAAACTTTTGCAAAAACCGAAACTTAAACGGTGTACTTAACCCAACCCCGATTATTGCCGAACCTAGCCTACCTAAACCAGATTGTACGTTAGGTTTAGCAAAAATCTAAAAAAAAAACCGCCGTCTTTTCCACCTTTCCCATTTTTCTATCTATCACTTACTATTTTCTAACCTTTAATGTCCATGTAACATACATTTAATGTCAAATGTTTAGTTTCTTAAACAGAAAACGACCACCAACATACGCATGAAACGTTTCATTAGGTCGACGGTTGAGGTACAATTATTGTTCTGCAGTTTTAGATTAGATTTTTATTGAGGTCTCAATCGTGGGAAATAAAAGCCATCGCCCAATGCATTTAACCTCTTTGGGATGAGAAACACGACGCTGTCTGTTGGTCGGACCAGGAAGTTTGGCTTCCGGGTAAGCACATAATATGTAAGTTATGTACGGCAGACAAGGCATTTATTCTTAGAAAAACGACTGATACGATATGTTTCTAATGGCGTTTGCGTGACACCACGACAATGGAGTCGGCCACAGAGAATGAGTGGGAAAAACGATTTCGGATTCGCCGAACCGTGAATATCTTTTGGCGATAATAAACACCAACGACGACCTTGATCTCTCTACAAACGTTGTGTCCGGACATAATTCGTAAAGAACAACGCCGTCTTGGTTTTGAAAGAAAAGACAATAATCGTAAGAAACGCGAAAAAAATTACAATCCCAGACAAAGCGTTGTAACGTTATGAAAAATTACACACATGTATTATTTTAACGTTATGAAGAAACAAAACCTTATTGTCGCCGACACGGTGGTGGGGCCGTACATTGATGAGATAAATGAAATTGTTATTAACGAATAGTACATATTGAGGTTATAAATCCGTACGGTATAATATAATTTAGCCGGGGCGACGTTAGATCAAAGACCAGTGCGCCGTTGAATTGCCTACACAATGCGCCGTCAACCGATTTAATGTTTTGTGATTATTTTTTTGCCGCAATCTCCTTTAAACGCGTAAGACACATTGTAGTACACACAGGGTGAACTACGAAGATATGTGCTTATACTGCCTAGGAAGGGTGCCCACGGGTAGGGGCGGGACAACTCCTCTCACCCTAGCTTCTCTGCGAGTTAAACATATTAAATCCTCATCCCAAATTTGCAAAATCTATTACAAAATCATAGGCCAAACGTCGAACAGACCAAGAAAATAACACAACAAAAACGATAACCGCGCCACCGTAGTACAACTGGGAGGTGCGGTAATTTAAAATTCGAAAATCATTATTGGCTTTGAAAAAAAAAACTGCAACGGTTCTCTCGAGACACCCTCTACATACATACACGCCGATCCACTTACTGGCAGAGGAAAGTTTCGTGGCGAAAAAAATCAACTACATTTACCACACGTATGTGTGTGTGTGTGTGTACATCGAATAAAACTTCTTCTACCCATGCTTCTTTTGTCGTCGTCCGCAACTCCTTCTTAGGCTGCGGCGGCGGCATAAGGTAAAAGTGATAAATCGGTCCGTCTTCTGTATCATCTATTCCCCGGACGGCGCACAAACCCGAAATTGATTTTCGTCGTTGCGGCAGAGAAAAAAAGGGCAGTCCGGGCGAGGAGGAATAAACGTCGACCGACAGCGGTGATATGGAGGGAAGGGGGGAAGGGAAAAAACACCTTGTCTCGCCGAATAGTAAATAAGGACTACCACTGAGTTGGCCCGCGTTCCCGGGGGACTAGACAATACACTGTGCGAGATGTACAGGAGAGGAGACCGGGCAAGCGACTCGCGTCTAGAACCGCACACAATCAACCGTTTGTCAGGGAATCGGCCGAACAACCCACAGCCAATTCCGGTTGAATATTTGCAAAACCATCGTGTCAGCTAAGGATGATCAATTTTTCCGTTTACCCAAAAACAATTTGAACTACCGGATCTCTACTTCGGCGACTAGGTCATTCGGGACTGCTTGCGTTAGTCTAATTTTGGCGACCCAATCGGTCGTTCAGAATGTTTATTCAAGTACCATTACGGGGTTTTAAATAAAATAACTCACACCCGATGACGAGATAATGGATTGCATCGATTAAGAACCTATTAAATTAATTAGCGATAAAACATTATTATAATAACGACGATGGTTAGTAAGCTGAAGTAATTTATTAATGCTTTGCCTAATCAATCACTCGAGGACGTCATGCAGCAGACACGGGTCCAATTTCTTCTTTTAGCAAAGTGTTAGAACCGCACCTTTTATGAGAAGAAGGAGTGGGCGAGTATTCACTACACATAAGACCAACCGATGGGAATAAAGCGCATTCTATAAGGTTCATATGCGCAGTTTTTTTAAAATTATTATCCTTTTATTTAAAAAAAAAATACACCTTCGTTAAACAAAATCGATCGAGTTAACATAATAAATTAGATGCTGGTTTAGGCGAAACTGCGAGTGATTTGTTTCATCCTCGGTCCACCGTTGTTACGTAAGTATATATTTTGAAAATTAACAGCAACTCGTTTGTTTTGCCTGAAGTTTAATAATTACATAGTTATTTTGTGTGCATTCCTACATTCTCCTACATAGGTGATATCGGTCGTTATTATTTACTGCAAAAGCAATATATGAAACACCAATTTATATTTAATTCAAATTCAAATCTTTGTTTTCGGCAAAACAAATACAATATTGGTAAAATTCAAAATATTTCCGTTTCACAACAACCCTCGACCCTCGTCGATCGGATAGGATGGTGAAAATAGTTTTAAAGTGTACACTACGAGTCTTTTTTAAACTAGTCGAGGGCGCAAGTTCTTTCTCTCCCCCCCCTTCCCACGATCCAGAGATGAGCACCACGTCGCTTAAGGGGTTTTGAGTATGAAAATTCGAAAAAAGCTAATTTCCTGCCGCACACGAAATTCGACGGATAATCCGCGGAAAATCCTATGCATTTATTATTTACACTGCCAAAGTGTTTTTCACCTTGTTCCGACCCCCCCCCCCACTATTTGTTTGTTCACCACTATGGGGTCGGGAATTATTTTAATTTTTTTCTTTTTCTTTTGTAACTTCTCTCGCTGTTTCTCCATTTATG